GTAGTAGTAGTAGTAGTAGTAGTAGTAGTAGTAGTAGTAGTAGTAGTAGTAGTAGTAGTAGTAGTAGTAGTAGTAGTAGTAGTAGTAGTAGTAGTAGTAGTAGTAGTAGTAGTAGTAGTAGTAGTAGTAGTAGTAGTAGTAGTAGTAGTAGTAGTAGTAGTAGTAGTAGTAGTAGTAGTAGTAGTAGTAGCAGTAACAGTAGCAGTAGCAGTAGCAGTAGTAGTAGCAGTGGCAGTAGCAGTACTAGTAGCAGAAGCAGCAGGGTCGGGGATCACATGGTCGCATGGCCCCCGTCATCACCTAGTCACGGTGTTGGATTGGTAAGGTTGATTTCGTTAATGGTGGGCAATGATGAAGCCCGTGCAATCGACAATTTGCGGATGGTCTTCTGATCGCATGGGGGAATCCCAGGGGACGGCTTAGGAATTTCTCTGCGCTCTTCATAGCATGTGCAGGATGCCTTACACATGCCTTTTCTTGCGCCTTCCGGACTCGTAGCAGTTTCTGGATCGTATCGTCAGATTTCTGAGGGACCATTTCAGAATCCGTAGGCCTGAAGGATTCTGGAATCCTTGGGAGTGTTCAACATCTTCGGATTCCGACCCAGGTGCGCCAGAGGGTGCCAGGCTGGGCTTTCGCTTGGCACCGTACTGAACGTCCAGCCTAGCCCCTTTGGTTCTTTGGCTCGCGCTCGCTGCTTCAAGCGTTTCCTCCCTCCCCTCCTTTCCCTCCCCTTGTCCCTCCTCTCCCCTTGTGTCCGCCTGCGAAGGCCCGACCCCTCGGACACAGAGCCCACCCTCGTCTTCAAGGAGCGTTCGTTTCCCGATGCGGAGGAGGCCGAGGAGGGGGGTACGTGATGATGATGTTGACGACGGTGACGACGATAATGGTGATGGTGGTGGGATGAGGGGGATGGGGATGTTTAGTGATGGTGGGTGTTTGTGCCATCATCATTACGGTACTCATTCAGATGACAGTGGTAACGTGGTAACGTGGTAACGGTAATGCGGATGATGCTGATGATGATGATGCAGGAGGATACATGATGGAACACTACATGTGATGACTATAGTGGTGGTGATGTTGTCGATTCCGCTACCGCTGCTGATGATGATACGGACTGCGGCGACGGCGACGTTTAGTGATTGTTGTGTTGATGATGCAGATTATGGTGATCATGGGGCTGATGATTCTGAGGTTGTAACGACGAGGATGCCATTGATGCTGGTTTTATGTTGATGCTGGTGACGGTGATGATGATAATGATGATGCTGATGAGGATGTCGATGATGATGCTGATGATGGTGATGATGACGATGTCTCGTGATTATGGTGGTGCTGCTGCTGCCGACATGACGATGACAATGACAATGACGATGCCGCTGAAAATGATGCTTGTGATGATGCTGGTGATGATGATGACGATGATGCTGACGATGATGCAGCTGCTGCTGCTGACGATGATGATGGCGATGATGATGCTGCTGCTGATGATGCTGCTCATGACGATGATGCTGATTCCGACGACAGTGATTCCAAGGTTGTCCACAATTTCGATGTTGCCAGCGATGATGCTGATGCCGATGCAGTTCTTGTTGATGCTGACGACAAGGCTGCTGCTGCTGCTGCTGATGGTGGCACTGATGACGATGCTGATGATGAGGTTGGTAAGAGGGAGGAAGATACCTACGATAATGCTGATGCTGATGATATTGATGCTGATGACGATTCTGATGATGATGATGATGATGATGATGATGATGGTGATGCTGACGATGATGATACTGCTGCTGCTGCTGATGATGATGATGCTGATGATGATGCTGGTGACGGTGATGATGCTGCTGATGATGCTGATGCTGCTGATGATGATGCTGATGCTGATGACGATGCTGATGACAGTCATGATGCTTACGATGATGATGCTGACGGTGATGATGATGCTGATGATGGTGATGATAATGGTGATGGTGATGAGGATGATGCTGCTGATGCTGATGATAATGATGCTATACTGATGATGCTGATGATGCTGATGATGATCATGGTGATCATGATGATGAGGATGCTGATGATGATGATGCTGATGCTGCTGATGATGATGATTATGATGATGATGATGATGATTCTGCTGATGACGACGATGACGATGATGGTGCTGCTGATGATGATGACGACGATGACGTTGTCGACCACGATGACGATGATGATGATCACGATGCTGATGATGATGATAACGATGAGTGATGATGATGATGATGATGATGATCATGATGATGATGCTGATGTTGATGCTACTGATGATGATGATGATGATGATGATGCTGATGATGTTGATGATGATGCTGATGAGGATGAGGATGAGGATGAGGATGATGATGATGATGATGTTGATGATGATGATGATAATGATGATGATGCTTATGATGATGATGATGATGATGATGATGATGATGATGATGATGATGATGATGATGATGATGATGATGATGACGACGACGACGACGATGATGATGATGATGATGATGATGATTTGGATCATGATGATGATGGTGATGATGATGATGATGATGATGATGATGATGATGATGATGATGATGATGATGCTGGTACTGATGATGATGCTGACGATGCCGATGGCGACGCTGATGCTGATGCTGCTGCTGACGTTGATGATGTCCATTCCAGTCGGACCGAAGTATAATATCGAGATCGGTTCGGGGAGGGTACCCTAAGGTTCTTCGTGCTTGTTTGATGTTCTTGTGCATCCTGGGGACCGTAGATGTTCCGTGTGTTTTGGTCATTGGAGGATCTCATGTTCTTGAGGGATGTTCTTCAGGTCTAGGTCCGGCCGTATGTTCAGGCTGCTGATGGCGCGGCTGATGATGCTGAGGGTGCTGATGACGTCCATGAATACGTTAACTGGGCTGAGGAGGCTGCTGTTGCGGCTGCGGATGGTATGATGACGATGCTGATGCTAATGCCAGTGCCAATGACGATGATGGTATTGGTGATGATGATGATGATGATGATGATGATGATGATGATGATGCTGGACTGGGATGGGGAGGACCTGAGGAAGAGGAGGAAGAGGCGGAGGAGGAGGACGAGGAGGAGGATTGGTTTGGCAAGGAGGGGGAGGCGGAGAAGGATGATTAGGAGGACTGTGAGGACGAGGAGGAGGATGAGGAGGAGGATCAGGAACACAAATGAAGAGGGTGGATGGGGAGGGGTGGATGGGGGTGGCAGAGGTGGAGAGGGGGCAGACGAGGGAGGAGGAAGTGGAGGACAAGACTGATGGGGGGGGGATAGGAGGAGGAGGAGGAGCAGGAGGAGGAGGAGGATGCGGAGGAGGTGGAGAAGGAGGAGGAGGATGAGGAGGAGGAGGATGAGGAGGATGAGGATGAGGAGGACGAAGAGGGGGGGAGTAGAGGAGGATGGGGATGAGCCAGGGAACGACCGCCTTGGGGCTGCCCAATGCGAGAATGGGCAGGAGCGACGAGTTGGCAGACGAGGAATAGTGTGGAGGATGAGGACGACGATGCTGAAAAGGGGGGGCTGGAAGCCGCCGAGTAAGGGGAATACGGGGGGAAACGATGAGGGAGGGGGGATGACGAGGGGGAGGATGAGGAGGAGGGATGAGGCAGAGGGGGAGGAACGGGAGAAGGAGGGTGATGGTTCGGAGGATGTCGGGTCTGTATTGGGGACGATGCTGATGATGAAACAAGAAGGCCGACAGTGTACGGCGCTGAGACAAGAACAATATTTCGAAAAAGGAACCATACTTCTTCCCTGTAGAGGCTTCGAGCTTATAACAAGGCGAACTTGCGTGGCACTGTCTGGACCGAGGGCACATGTTGAAAGCGGGTCGAATTCCATCCTTGTAACACTTGGACGTTTTTGCATCGAATGTGCGTGGCGCTATGGTGATGGCACACTTTGAGCACGGCCTGTCCTCCATTCCTGTTACCGTTGGGAATGTCAGGCTTCAGGGCCGCAGACCGAGGAAGCTTCAGGTGAGTAGCCTGGCCCACTCTACCGACGTGTGACAGTGCGACGAGACGGAGTTCCTTATGAGGGATGGGGGTCGACGAGGAGGAGGAGGAATAGGAGGAGGAGGACCAGAGTAAACCCAATATGCTTCAGCGATGCTACACCCTCCCCTCCTTGGTTTTCTCACCATAAATCCATATAGCCTTTTCTTTTCACTTATACAACCCCCTTGAAATGATAGCACCATGCGGGCCTGCCATTCGGGGGAGCGCCCCGTTTCGAGCAGGATGTGGCTTGCATCTTCCTGGCGCGTAAACAGGAACGCGAACACGTGCGATCACACAGTTCATCGAGGTGGGCAGCGGTATCCACGTTTGGAAAGACCCCTCCATCCGTGTAGCTGTTGCACAGCTTTGCACTTCTGGCCATGCGTTTTGAAGAAGTTTCAGGCGAGAGCCCTGCAGTTTGAAGTTTCTTCTTTGTAATTTCGAGGGAGTTGCGAGTGAGAGACCCATTTTGAAAAGGGACCATTCTCCAACCTTGTAGGTGCTCACCACTTCAAGATGAATGTGCGCAGCGCTACAGGTAGAGCCCCATTTCGAAACGGACCCGCCATTCATCCTTGAAGCTGCTGCAAAATTTGAAGACGAATCTGCGTCGCGCCAGTGGCAGGTAGCTGTTGCAAGCTTTTTCGGCGAATGTGCGCGGCGCGATGGCGAGAGCCCCATAACAAAACAACTACTTGATTTTCATCCTTGCAGTTGCTGCGAATTTCAGGCTTCAGGGCCAGGCGTTCTGTGGAACACTCGGGCGAAGCGCCCAGCCAACCCTGCAGACACGTCTGAGGGTGATCTATGAGGAGCACGGACGGATTGGAAGGAGGAGTTGGAGGAGGGGGGTCGCGAGGCAAGCGCAAACGGTAATCTCCGCCGCCGCTCACGCCGGCGGCAGCCAGGACGTGTGCTCGCCCGGCGGGGAGCCGGTGGACCTGGTCATAGAAGTCATGGGTGCCGCGAGAGGGGGGGGTGGTGAGCAAGAAGGAGATGGAGGAGGGGAGGGAAGAGGGGAGGGTAGATAATGATGATGATGATGATGATGATGATTCTGATGATGATGATGATGATGATGATGGTGGTGGTGATGATGATGATGATGATGATGATGATGATGAGTGATGATGATGATGATGATGATGATGATGATGATGATGTTGTTGTTGATGATGATGATGCTCATGGTGATGGAGATGATGCTGATGGTGGTGCTGATGATGATGATGATGGTGGCGGAGGTGGTGGTGGTGGTGATGATGATGATGCTGAGGGTGATGATGATGATGATGATGATGATGATGATGATGATGATGATGATGATGATGATGATGATGATGATGATGATGATGATGAGCATGTCGATGATGATGATGCTGCTGCTGATGATGATGCTGATGCTGCTGATGGTGATGATGACGACGCTGATGATGCTGATGATGCTGCTGCTGATGATGCTGCTGCTGAAAATGATGATGATGCTGATGATTGTGATGATGATGATGACGCTGATGCTGATGATGCTACCGCTGATGATGATGGATGATGATGATGATGATGTTGCCGATGCTGGTGATGATCATCACGATGCTAATGCTGCAGATGATTATGCTGATGATGATGCTTATGATTCTGATGCTGCTGACGATGAAGATGAAACTGATACTGAAGATGGTGGTGATGATGATGGTGATGATGATGACGATGATGATGACGATGATGCTGATGCTACTGGTGATGATGATGATGATGATGATGATGATGATGATGATGATGATCAGGAGGAGGAGGAGAAGGAGGAATAGGAAGATGATGAGGAGGAGGAAGAAGAAGCGGAGGAGGAGTCGGAGGAGGGAGGGAGGCAGGGAGAGAGGGAGGGAGGGATACTGGTGCGCTAGGTTTTGCGAGGGAGGAAGGGAGGGTGGGAGGGAAGAGGCAAGCGTAGGTGGTGATGCTGATGATGATGATGATGATGATGATGATGATGATGCTGATGTTGATGCTGCTGCTGCTGCCCATGGTGATGATGATGAGGATTTTGCTGCTGATGATGCTGATGATGATGGTGGCGGTCGTGGTGGTGATGATTCTGATGCTGAGGGTGATGATGATGATGATGTTGATGATTAGGAGGACGATGATAAGGATGCTGATGATGATGATGATGATGACGATGCTGATGATGATGCAAATGCTGATGATGATGATACTGATGATGATGATAGTGATGATGATGCTGCTGATGATGCTGATGATGCTGCTGATGATAATGGTGCGCTGATGATGATATTGATGACGATGCTGATTATGATGATGATGAATCTGATGATGATGATGCTGATGGTGATGATGATGAGGTTGCCGATGCTGCTGCAGATGTTGATGCTGCTGCTGCTGCTCCTGCTGCTGATGGTGATGCTGTTGTTGATGATGCTGATGATGCTGTTTATGATGCTCATGCTGCTGATGATGCTGATGATGACCTGATGATGATGATGAGGATGACGGTGCTGGTGGTGATGATGATGATGTTGTTGTTGATGATGATGGCGATGATGCTGCAGCTGATGCTGATGATGACGCTGATGATGCTGCTGCTGATGACGATGATGCTGATTGTGATGATGACGATGATGATTATGATGATGATGATGATGATTGGCGATGATGATGCTTATGATGATGCTGGTGGTGGTGAAGAAGATGATGATACCGATGACAATGATGATGACGTTGGTGGTGGTGATGATGCTGATGATGATGGTGACGATGATGATGCTGATGCTTGTCATGATGATGATGCTGATGGTGATGATGATGACGCTGATGATGATGATGATGATGATGATGATGATGATGATGATGATGATGATGATGATTATTGTGCTGCTGCTGATGATATGGATGATGATGATGATGATGATGATGATGATGATGATGATGATGCAGATGATGCTGCTGATGATGATCATGCTGATGATGATCTGATGATACAGCGACTTGTCGGCGTTTGTGGTAACTCCGCGGCCGTATTCCCTCGCTCAAGTTCTAAAGGGATGCAAGCATTCTTTGAGCGGGTCTGCGCCGACCTCACCAGTGCCCTCACCACTGCCATCATAGTTCGCGGCAGCTCGACGCCCTGCCCAGATTGCGTCTGCTCTCCAGCGCTGCACTGCCCTGCGTTGGAGTGCCGCTGCCCGACAGGCGAGGGCTCGCTGGCATCCGTGCAGCCCACAGGCTGGTCAACTGAGTTCGTGGTCGTGCTCGTGGTGAGCTCCTTCGCATACGGCATCGTCGTAGGCGGCTTCTTCATCAAGAGCTCTCGGACGGCCCCCGTGGTTCAGCCCGCACCCGCTCCAGCACCTCTGCCCGAGACGGTGGACACTCTCGACCTTGCGACGGCGGCTGCTGCCCAGGCGAGGAAGTTCCGCCGCTAGGAGCAATGGCTGCTCGCACCTCTGGCCAGTTCCACTACGTACGGTACAGCGTCGGGGGGCCCGCCATCTACCACGAGAGGCTCACGTTGCTGCCAGGGTACATCCTCACCCCCGACGATGACGACTACGCGGAGAGCGACCTGGCTGGCGGCGACTTGAGATCAGTGCATGATTCGGCGGGCCATGGCGACGCAATCGTCGGAGTCGCCGCCCATAGGCTCTACAAGTTCAGACGGCTGCCGTCCGCAGCCGTCGTCTGGGCTGCTGTGCGCCGCGGCGTCGCTCAAGGCCACGGACCTCTGCCGCCGTCGCCCTTCAACCTCGAGCTCAGCGCCGACAACGTGCTGGGCGTGGCGGCGGGGGCGCTGGCCTTGCCCGACCCGCTCGGAGCGGCGCCCGCTGCCGCAGCGCCTGGCGCCCTGGCCTTGGCGGGCGCGGCCGTGCCCCCCGCGGGCGCCCCTGGGCCGCCCGCCGCCGTGGCCGCGGAGCCCGAGGGCGGGGTGGGCGCGCTGGCGGCGGCGCTCGGTGCGGGGGGGGCCGCCCTGCCTGCCGCCGCGGACCCTTTGGGCGTCGGCGGCGCCGCCGCGGCCCCCGCCGTCCCAGGCGTCGCGGGACCTGATCCCCGCGTGATGGCCTCCGTGCTCGACGCTCGTGGGCTGCGGGACATGCCCTTCAGTGACGCCGTGAAGCGCCAGACCGAGACCGCCCGCGCCGACTGGCCCGTGAGGGGCCCTAGGACCACGATGTGGGTGCTCCACTTCATGCTGCGCATGGCTGGCGGGGCGATGGCGTGGCACAACCGCTGGATGGCCATGATGCAGGCCCTGTAGACGGACGACACCGCCAAGCTCCACGAGACGCTGTGCCGCGTCATCGAGACCTCGCTCTGCCACGACCAGCTGATCATCTGCGAGCTGGCCTCCTACGAGTTCCTTTCGCGGCAGCTGCAGTTGGTGGAGGGGCGCTTCTTCGAGGAGCGCGCGCGCAGGACTCAGCCTGCGCCCGAGGCCAAGGGCCAGGCCAAGGACGGCGCCGCGTCCGCGGCCGCCGAGGCCTCCTCGGAGATTGGGCACTTCCTCGGCACGGGAGAGACGGTGGGCAACTTGTGCATTTGCCCAGCCTTGATGGACTGGATCGCCGACCAGATGAAGAGTGAGGCCGCCGTTGCAAAAGAAAACCGCAAGGCTCGCGAGGAGCGGGCCTTGCGGCATCCATGACGTTCCTTAAGGGCGCTGGCCAGGAGGGGCCTTGCGACGTGTTACCGGTTCGTGAGCCTGGCCAGCTTTGCCCCGAGCCCTTCGTGGCTCCACCTGGCCTGGAGTCGCCCAGACGAGGTGGCCGTCGCCAGCGTGACGTTTTTCCGCTCCCTCTTCTTCCAGTGGATGGGCGTCGCCATCTTCCGCTTGGTCGGGGTGCTCGTCTACGGGCCGCCGAAGGCGCGAGCTGGAGAGAGTGGTGCAACGAGGGGTTGACTGCTCTCAACTGGCTCCATTGCGGCAAGGACGAGCCCTCCATGCCTGACGACGGGGGGGCACCGCCTGCGGCCCAGGCAGCCTCAGTGGACTACATCGCGGGCTTGTACCGCGACTTCGAGCTGCCCGCCGCCTACTCGGAGAGAGGCCGCGATTGCGAATCATCCCTCGTAGAGATGCTCGCGCAGGCACCTGGCTACGCTGGCGAGAGTGGTCGTGTGCGCCCCTTCAGCACGCCACTTGTGGCCTGGCCCGAGTCGACGAAGGCAGTCTCCACCTGCGGCGTCGTCTCCGAGGCCGACTCCATCGTGCTGCAGGATTGGAGGCAGAGTATGCTGAATCCCGAGTCGGTGGCGGCGGAGCTCCGTGAATCGTTGGGGGTTAGTCGCCCCTATGTGGATCCCGAGCTGCGCTTTAAGCCGAAGTCCTACGCTGAGTTTTTGAAGCAGCTGGAGGCCCACGACATGATCACCTGGCGGGTCTCCAGCGAGCAGGCACCCTTCTCTGCTGGTCTTTTCTTTGTGCTGAAGACTAACGGCAAGCTCAGGCTGGTGTTCGACACCAGGCTGGCCAACTGCAGCTTTTCGTGCCCGCCAGCCGCTCGCCTGCCCACGCCCAGCGCGTGGGCCAGCCTTGACTGTCGTCAGGGCGACATCCAGTGTGCATTCTATCATTTGCGACTGCCCGCTGGCATGGAGTCTCTCTTCCCTTTGCCACCGATAAACAACCGATTCCTCGGCCTCAAGTCGGTCAACGGGGTTCGTCTCGGCATCAACGATTATCTCCAGCCTCTTGTCACGGTCGTTCCCATGGGGTGGAGTTGGGCTCTACACCTGTGCCAGAGTGCGCTGACGAGGGCCCTGTCGGATGTCGGGTTTGGCAGTGACGATGTGATTCTGGATGGGGGATGTCTTCGTCCCTTGGTGGCGGAGAAGGACGCGGTGTGTGCTGGTTATGTTGACAACTTCTGTGTCGCATCCAAGTGCGCGGAGACAGCCACGTCCCTTGCTCGTGCCGTTGCTGACCTTCTCACTGCCCGCGGGTTGCC